TGTCAGACAACTGTTATCAGTGTGCCCAACAAAGTTTAATATTTGCCTATTAAATTTTCTTGGTGGATGTTCAAAACAAGATTCAATGACGATGAGATGAGGCGATTGTGCCTTGATACTATTTGATCAAAGCCGACAACATTCAATGAAATTTCGTATTAATTATGGAGGCATGAAATTACGAAATAGAGAAAAATACAGAATGATCAAAATCGAATATGTCGTCTAATCCTTAATGGAATTGAATCAAAATAAAAGAACTTTAACGACAATGATGTAAACAGTAGACAAGCCAGGCTAGACGGCTAACTATATAAAATGCGGTTAACCGTTTCATTTATTTAACGGGACAATTACATACAGACCATCCTAAATTTGTTATTTACAAATCCAGTATTTGAATAGTGGCAAAAAGGTATAGGAACTAAAGCCGTGTCGGGCGGCTTCTAATGGATAAGTTTCACTCCACATTCCGCCTTTTTTAATAATTTTTTCCTTCTCGTTCGCTTCCACCGCCATGATTTTTAATTTCAAATTTAATTTTAAAATAACACTTTTCGCCCTCCTTCGGCCTTCGTTCCCACGCAAACTGTCCCCATAACCCCACCTCTATATAAGGACCACAGCCCATTACCGTTCTTGTAACCAACTCAAGCCAGTCAAAAATTTTCTGAACGGTATGGCGATCGCCTCCAAGGTCTCCAACATATCACCGGGGACAAATCACACGCCGGCGGCGAACTCCTCGGCAATTCCTCATCGGGATGCGTCTCTCACCGCGGCTTACGAGCGTTACGTCCGGCTTTCGGATCTCGCCAAGCTCTGGAGTTCAAGGGATTTCCCACAGTGGAGGAATGAATCTGTGCTGAAGCCGGCAATTCAAGCCCTCGAGATCACTTTTCGGTTTATATCCATCGCGATGTCCGATCGCCGGCCGTATGCGAACATTCGGGAATGGAGTCGCCGGCTGGAATCGCTTGCGGCTGTAGAGATTGAGATTATTGGAGATTTCTGTGAAGGGGAGGGAGGCGGCGGTGCACCGGTGGTGGATTTGCGGTCGGGCGCTGGCGTTTTGGCCCGTGATCGGAGCTCGCAGGAGGTGTGGCAGCTCCCCGGCGGCGG